TTAAACACTCCTTCAAAGGAAAGAAAGAGGCAATGGCCGTAGCTTCAGATGTTGTCGTCCGCGCTTTGGTCATCGCTACGATAGTGCTGGTAGCTATGAGTCAACGAACTTTTGTGCCAAATGGACGGTATGGCAAGCGGGCAGAGATACCTATAGTCGTTGGTGAGTACCATGATTGCAGTCATGTAATTGCGCACAATGGGCAGCTTACAAATTATCCCGTTACAGAGTGGGTCGAATTGTTTACAGTGATGAAATTACTACGGTCCTTACGCGGGCGCGCCGTGTCGGCCCTTATTATGGTCATCCTTGATGAACGGAGGACGGGAAATGCGAGTGAAGAGTTCGGGATGAGGATGCAGGGATAAACCGCAAATCTGGGGTCAAAATATTTTTCCCCAACGGACCACGTTACTTGCTAGTAAACGAGCAACTGATAGAACACCAAGGATGGCTTCGCCATGCTAATTTTGGCTAGGCCGATTTGGTATATAAACAAAGAATTTGGCCAGTCTTTGTGAGAACGCTGGCAAAAGTGACCAAACTGGGATATATTTACAGACGAACGTGCAATTACTCTGATATGTACAAGGGAAGACCACGACTGGCTTTGCCATGGGTATTTTTGCGTAACGGACCAATCATGGGCAAATACGTCAGTTTTCGGTGAGTAAGAAAATACGTCGTAAGAAATACAGCTTACGTCAGCTAGTCGCCGGCGCGCTGATCGACATCGAATCCGCAAAAGACTCGCATCTGCAGGAAGACTCCAAGCCGTCTTGCATCACCAACGTTTGTGCCATGTCCGTTCCGCTCTCATCTGCTGTGATGAAATACAACATTAACCTAAATACTATGGGAAATTTATCGATTATTCACTTATTATTTGGCACTTTTCCGCCATTTCTAGTGGGCCAATTTTAAGCCTAGTGGTGTTCGTCTATTGTTGAGCAACTGCAGTGCTCTACCCGTTACCCCTTGATGGACCGTTACAATGTTTCAACGGATCTGGTTTTGTCTGTGTAACGCTGTTAACGTTGAAATTGTTATCGTGCTTTCATTACGCTTCGCTATAGGTGCGCAGTCAGGCGTCGGGAGCGGTACCGAGGAGATCCCGTCACCAATCATTTTCCGTGATCGATTGTTGGTTAGTCCGATGTGCCTATGTACGCAGACGCGCGTGGGCGATTATTACCGTTGCACGAGGTAATGTTTAAGAATATTCGATCCATATAAGCTTTTATTTCTTTCTCTTGATACCATTTGCGGAAAAATGATATGATGATATAATAAATTGAATGTTACTCATAATGATAACGATAGAATAAATTGATAATTGTTTTAATACGATGAAGAATATCAAGCTATAAGCTTTTCCAATTATTATGACTAACATATATGAAAGAAAAGATTGTATCAGCTCAGTTTCTCGCGCAACAGACGCAGCATTTAGGCTAGATCGTTAGTAAGTGATGTATCACAGATTTCCAAATCGGCCTCTCTGGATCATATATAAGAATACTGGTAACATTAGTAACGTATTTCGTGTGCTTCTCCATATTCAGATGAATCAATTCTAGATTTACTTAACCAAATACGTAGTAGTATACGTATAAATCTCACATCTCTAATCAATTCAATCTGTGTATTTTTCAGGCGTACAGGCAACAACTTTGATGAACCGTCGCAGTAACTAGTTTTGCGGCGTACTGTGAAAAGGACCAGGTCGGTCTGGCTGGCACTGGTCCTCGGTGTGCAAGCGTTATCTAACGTCAAAACAGAACAGTCGGCTATCGCAGAACCAGAAGGAAGCTAAATATTAAGGAACGAACGAACATGTCAAAAAAGCCCATGAGATTAATACTAAGGACTGGGTTTCTTTTTCGGTGCAGTTGCGAGTTGCCGTTAGAGGCTGTAAGGTGCAGTAACTCAGCGCTTTTAAGAAAGGGGACTGACAACGAGTAAGGAGGCGGTCCTCAAATACAGAAGAAGGGGCACATTTCAAATGACACCTAGCTAAAAAATTGAAAATGACACAATGCGAGGAAATAATCGAAGAAAGTTGATTGGTTGGTACTCCAAGCAAGTTTTCGGATCTCAGGAGACTCATACAAATAGATCTTAGTGGCTAAAAAGAAGACACATTTGGATGGAAAAGCGGCTGATCCGTAAAGAACAGTTATGTAATCAACAGTGAGTGAAGGTGCCGTCTGCGAAGCTGGCGTATGTACGAAGAGATTTCCGAGGAAACGATGCCACCGATGTGGACTAATGACAACAACGACAGTGATTTGAAAATCCCTTTCTCTTGGCGCTGGGTAACGTCGAGCTAAAGCTAGTTGTTACTAACGAGACAATGTATTGCAAATCCCAAATGCTAAATGGCGTTTGAACGTTAGAAACAGCTCTGCCTCGTAAAGAACCTCTATGGAATCCAGGAACAAAGGAGTTTATTAATATAACTACTGCTGATAAAACGGGTAAAAAACAGGCCACATCACAGATCATTGGATTGTGATGCCATCAGGAACAGTACATGAACCAATCAAATAACTGCACGTTTTCCTTCAAGAGCCATTCACAAGACGTCCTCCTGACCGAATATCCCTATCGGTTTTTGAACTATCGTCAATTAATTGGTTTATAGGTAGTCGTGGATGGAGAACAACACGAAGGAAAAAATATTAATAATATCACTCGACTTAACTGAGTGTACAGCTGGCGCACAAACACATGCACATACGTACACGCACTAACATAGAAAACCTAACTATTTTTAAAGCGTTCGCAAGAACAACGACGATATCGTCTGCCGATTGCGGAAGAACGATTATCCCAAAAAGATCTGGGGAGGTGGGACATCCCGATAGCTTGCGGCGAATCAACTGTGGCCGACTCTGTGTCAGGGCTTTCCAGTGGAGAAATACACAATTTTTAGCTGGGTGTGCGGCGATTGGACGCATCAAGTATCCTAAGCGAGAAAGTCGGTAGAAGTATGTAACAGCGTCCGGTCACACGCCGCCACTTCAGCGGCTAACGCCAAATGTTACTTAGGGGCAGTGAGACCATAGGCCGCATTAAAAGAGATAAACGTCGAAATAGAAAGACTCATCCTAATATCTATGGGTAGGATAAAATCCTCCATCAACAAGTCCTACAGCTGGGAACACCCGATTTAGAATAAATAAGGGAATGCTATTACCCCTGATTGAGAACTACGTTTTTACTCAGCATTATTGTTTAAGACTGGTGATTATAATATGTAGATCCGTGCCTCAGTGTAATTCGCCTAGCCTAAATCCATTAAGTTTGTTACTACGGAAATGAAAATTTACAAAAATTACCTTTTGCTTATTTTGGTAGTAGTTGTTGTAGCTTTTTTTGAAGTTTTGTTGGAACTTACCTGGTGCTTTTTTGTCTAGAAAAAGCTACTACACTTTATTGTAGATCTATAGCAAACCTTGTAATGTACCTCAGTTTCTCATGCCTTCTCTAAAGTGTCTGTTTTCATATCGAATTCTCCGCTCTTAGCGTATTTCCCTAAAAGATTCCCTTCACTTATCTCTGTCTGTGTATCATACTAGATAGCTGGTATTGGCCGCCGAGGGGTCAAAATCGTTGTCGATTATCCCAATATGTACCAAGACTGCCTTGCCCATGAATATTTCTGCCCAACAAATCTACAACTGAAGTCCTTTGATTCACTATTTACCACCCTCCTGTCGCTACCCACAAGATCAGAAGCCGATTACTGTTCGGATGCTTTGGAACAACTGCAGGGCCCTGATTCAGTGATGAAGAACTTCAATGTTTCCAAGGATGTGATGGTTTAGCGTTTGTTTATCATATACCAGACAGCTCGCGAAATTGACAAAAGTTAGCATAAATAGTTCAGCCGGTAATTAGCACATTGTAGCTCGTCTTTCTACTAAGAATATTACTAATATACTTCATTCTGATATACTTCCCATTTTTAGTTAAATATATCCTAGTTCCGCTCAATGGATAAGAAGCAATTAGATCTACTTACTAAATGCAGAGCCAATCAATCTGGCTTTTTCGAACGACATACCTCAATGCTGGAAACTTTCGACTTACAATAAATACCGCTATTCTTGTCATCAGATTACGTTTTATTGAATATTTTCATTTAAGGCGTATATTTGCGTCCCAACGAAATTCGCTTACTTCCGCAGTTGATTACGGCGAAAAATCGTTACTTTTCTTCAAGTTATGGGATGAATCAGTCTGTAGCAAGTATCTATATCGAGTAAGCAAAAGCTAGTTACAGAAGTCATCTGTTAGCCCTTTGCCCATTCAACTACTACTCTGGAAAAAAGTAAGGATTTATTTAATGTCCTTTTGTCTGCGCTGTATGGTCCTTATTGCCACAAAAAAAAGAAAATAATTGTGCGAATGTTTTCACTGTTTCTATGGTTTTTAGTTGCACCAGTTTCTCTGAAGCTTTTACTACGTAGAGCAAAAATGACAGAGTCATGTCAATAGAGAATCATTTCGTTCAGACTTCTAATGCAACTGATCCGGAACTTGTCTAGCGACAATAGAAATTGGGCCTAATTTGTATAAATCCTAGTTAATGTGAGTCTGGGAGAGCTTCACCGGTGTGTTCCTAGGGTCGCCATCAAACCTAGATAAAGGGTTACCCTTTATTTCAAGATTATACTGTCGGCCGTCTAACGTCCCTCTACGTACATCAGATATTTATACGGAAAGTTTAAACAAATCTGGCTATCGAGCGTTGCCAATTTATTATGCAGAATGAATGATCATTCCGTTAGGGGCTTTCGAGCTCTGTGCTGAAAAACATCGATGATTCTTTTCTGTTAGGTGCCATAGATTCTCATACTTTTCTAGGGAGCTTGCTTTCAGGTTGAATATTTCTGAATGCAGCACCTTCAAAAGTCACTCTCATAACTCCGCTGAATTGTCCAGCTCCATAAACGTAACTTCGTAATAACTACTTCAAAGATTCCGACAGCTTGGCAGCTATCTCCAGCGGAGCTTCCTTTTATTAATGATATATGTACGTATATATAATACATTCACGTATAGTTATGTTTTAATTGTACTCATCTATGTCTCATTGTATAATAAACAATCATAGGATGTTTTCGATCAATATGGTTTCCTAAACGGATAGAGCAATTAGAAAATAAGGGGTCGCGCAATTCTGTTTCGCTCATATCACAATCACCGTCCAGTTTTTGAGGTGATTATTAACGGTTTATTATAGATTTTTTTTTGCTTCTTGTTCTTTGACAATTACGGTACTTAAACTGGACAGTACATCTACTATTATTTACGTTTGCTTTTCCATCATTGTTTCGTTTTTCATTACCTTTAGGGCGGTCACGCTCAGGCCTCGTCTTATTTTACCGTATTATGGTTGTGGTAGACTGGGTAAGGCGGTTCTCATCAACGCGCTGACCGTTCAGCTCTTGACCTCATTGACAAATAGACGGTTCTCGCACCAATCCGTCCCCCTACTTAGTTCCATCCAAATCTCATCGACAACGGTCGTAAAAGGGACGCTGCTCAATGACCGATTGTAAGAAAGACGTGCTGCGCTGATCGTTCTAAGTGGTCCATATTATATACGTTTAAAAGCAGTCTACTTAAACGGCGACGCCGGTGCAGCAGAGACTCAGATCCGACTCGCCAAGCAGCACAGCCGTACATCTTCAATATATGAATCACTGCTGTACACAATATTCAGGCCACACCTGTATATATATATATATATATATATATATATATATATATAGTTTTAGGTAAAAGCGTGTTATACAGGCTGTTTTATCGTCATCACCATCAGTATGTCATTGTGTCGCGTTAGCGTTACTGCCATAACAAGCTAGAGCCCGTTCAGCTTTTATTGCTTTTCGGATTTCCCTGTCTTTATCTATCTGTCCGCTAACTATACAGCTAAACGCATGCCTCAGTTCCAGTGCCAATGCTACGACGTACATAACGTGACTGAAATGTTATTATTCCGTTCACGCGAAGGTCATGAGACTGCCGAGAAATCAACCGCCTTCCTGGTGGTAACTAACAATTGTTGTTCTGTTCCACTACAACTTAGGACCTATGTCCACACACTTGAACTTGCTGTAATACTAATATATCTACAGTGCTTTAACCACGCGGCGCGTCGCAGGCAGCATTTTGGCTATCTTCTGTTTTGAGAACGGTTCGCAGACAGCGAGTACTTATCGTAGCAAGACATTTTGTGCGTATAGCCAGCTCACCATCAGATTCCTATTTATCATATACGATCTCTTATCATCTGTATTTATCATCTATCAAAGATATTAAGAAATCGGTCACTCACTCCGTCCCGAGTTGTCGAGCTTCCGTTGCTCTATCCAATTCTTATGTGTCTACATGACCTGAGAAAGGTCTTCGCCTCTTCATCACTGTCAAGCGCTGTGCAACGCCTTTCCACGCTACCACTGCGAATCCACATACTACCCCCTCCCCACGCCCCGCCCCTCTACGAAGTCGGTAATTATTGTTTTGTCATGCGTCACCTCTCCCGTTGTTTTTTCAGTTTTTATTTTGTTGGTATAGCCATAAGCCATCAAACGTATGTACAGCAAAGAAGATGATTTACACAAGAAAAAAGGACATAAATAGGTCTTCATTCAAACGTAAAATGTTGCCTTGAATTTTTTTCGGCATTCTCTTTAATGGGTAATAACGATAAAAGTCTCAGTCTGTTACATTTTTTCTTGACCAAGATAAAGGACATTTATCGCCAGCTTCGATTTATCATATGCTGAAAACGCCAATCGGGACCAGAAATTTCAGATTCGAGAGCGAAGAAGGCCAGGCTAAATTATCCTTAATGATTGTATGCAAACCTTAAGCTCGTGATACGGCGACTTGGCCAGATCCTACGGTTTCTCCGAGGACGACCTGCTCCTCATGTGAGAAGACCTCGTCCAAAGCAGTTGGTACTCGTGAATCTATTTATGAATAGAACACAGCAGAAAGATTAACATACTTTTAAGAAGCGTACGATAAGATATTTTCATCCATATTATATAGTACATAACGACGCATAGAGGACTTGCGTGTCGTTTGATGTCTGCCCGATGTTCCGGTGCCCTATGGATATGACTTATATTTATAGATTATACCTGTATCAATAATATGGCACGTTCTTACTTTTTGGCTTCGTTATTGCAGATGACTGATGTGTTGTATCATCAGTGAAGGGAAGACGAACTAGCAATGCTAATGACAAAAATATCGTTATTACGGTTATTGCTTTACCTTCATCGGAGACCTTCGACTCGGAGCTAGAGCTTTTCCGGCTTGTTCGACGGTTTATTCGACGGGCGCTTCGTGCATCGCCAAAGGGCACGTGCCATGAACGGCTCATGACTCCATCGGCCTCTGGCGTCGTAGCTGCTGCGCCAACGCTCCTCGACTCTTGCAACGGACGGTGCGTTGGGGTAGCTACGTCGACGACTGGAAATGATACGCGCATTATAATGGGACATAGAAATTACGGACCTATTGTAAAGAATGATGATCAGTCGTTTTATGAGCTGAACATGTTAGCCTAAATAGGCGACCGAGCGAATTTGCGAAAGGTATCGAAGTTCCTCACATTTGAGATGGTCGATCGTTTCGAAAAATAAGCCTTATGGCCTGTTAGCCAATTTCATATGCAGCGTTAATTGATATACTAAAAAATCGATTCTTATGGGTTTTATACTCACTAAAACTATTCGAGTCCCTTGCGCGATATTTGAGTGCTTCGAAATCATGATCGAGCTGCGTAATGATCCGATCCTTTTTCGCAGATAGCTCGTGAAGTTTCACATTTTCAGCTGTAAGCTGTTGCTGTACTGCGGTCTTACGGTCCAGTTGAGCCTTCATGTAAAAATAATTTCGAATTAAGTGATTATTCTGCTAATTTTGAACGTTCAACAATTTCAAATTATCATAGCACAAAGCGCAAAAATTATAGAGCTAGCAGGTGAGCACAAATTAAGAAACATATGCTGACCATTAGGGGCTAGCGTGCCTTTAATCGTATCTGTTGCTACGGAAACTCCAAATTATGTAATATTTATCGAAATTTTCGCTATTCGTTCCTGTTTCCTAGAAGTCTAGGAGCAATGGAATCTTAACACATGTTCTAGTCGTTTCCTTTTTTGAGCAATGTCCTACAAACCGTCAGGTCTTCGATGCGTGCCCGGTGCTTATCGATAACCTCTTGCATAGTAACCATCTTTTCCTTACGCTCCTGATTCTCACGCCTGTCCAGCATAAGTTCGCGTGTTTCGGCAGTCTAGTTAAACAAAAAATAATTGCTTCAGTTAGAAAAGATCTAGAGAACTTACAAAGTAATTTCGTAACGTTTTACGTTTCGGTTTTCCATAATCATGTTTGGAAATGCACATTACTAATTCAATGTTCACTATTTATATGCTTCTCATGCATCAAGTTGCACCAGTATGCAGGCCTCAAAGTAATAATGATGACAACGGAAATGGCCACGCTACATTTATTCGATAGTTTATTTCTCTTACCTTTAGTTCTAGGACGGCATTAAGTGACTCGACCTCCTTTTCGAGTGAGGCCACCTTCTTGGTGAGCCACTGCGCCTGTGAATCTGCGGATTGCAGGAGTTTGTCCTTGAGCGCCACGGCCTCCTCCTCGACTCGGCGGCACTGGCTGGTCTTTTCTACCAGGCGGCGCTCTAAATCCTGTTGGGCGTCAGTCAGAGCATTGATCTCCTCTGCTCGACAAGCTTTAAGGCGCTCCAGGGCCCGGGCATGTTCAATCTATCGTTAGGGGTAGAAAAAGATCGATTAGGGAGATACGGATGTCGGCTGTATACTATAAAGGGTAATAGAAGGGACACCAAGTATCGCCATTTCGAATTATGGAAAATTTGAGAAAATAGTTATGTTTTCGTAGTAGGACATGTGCTTTGGAAATACCTTGAGCTCTTCTAACTGCCGTTTAGAAACGACCTCATCATTGGCAGACTCCGCTTTTTGCCGCTCCTTTTCAAGAGCCTCTTCTAATCGGCGCCCAAAATCTTTTTCGAGAAGAGCCACAGCTGCGGCATGTTTTTGCTCCACTGAAAACACACAAAGCCCACCATATGTATGTGTAGCTCACAGCACGATTTGCGAAACATTTTCTAAAGCGACACATGTGCTCGTCCGAGGAAACTGGCTATTGTAAATGTCCCGTTTAGCCGCAAATGGTTCAGCTAATACAAAAGTACTCTATTGCTTACTTAGACATAGGTTGTACATGGGTATCCTGTACACGTGTGCTAATAACGACCATGTTTAAGACAAATTTGGGGATTCCTTCAAAGCACTTAGTGTTTCAAATACAACTTAAAATATCTTTTGTTCCGGAAACGCGGTTGTTAATAGAAAAAAATCACATCAAATCCTATATTAACGAAACAGAATCTGATAGTGGCCAGTAATAGATATGTTTGTAATAAGGTCTGTAATTATCGTTCGACAGTTTAAGTGTAGTGAGTAAAAATACTTTAACACCCGTCGGGAAAACCTTCCGGTATGGTGATAATATATTTGATTTTAGTCGCACTACACTTACCAGCACCTGAATACTTACAGTCAGCTAATTTATGATCTCTGGTTTGTTCAAAATCCTCCACGTCCCGTCTACGCGCACATACTTCGTCCCGAAGTTCCTTTTTTAAATTTTCTGGAATTTCAAGAGGCACAAGTTACGCTAGTAGATACAACTGCGTAGATAGAACCGATGGATCTTTAGCAGCTATTTCTTATGTAAATGCTGTTGCTAGCTTTTCCTTGTAATTGTATTTGCTATACAAAAAAATTAGTCGCTAGCAGGAAAAGGTCAATCAAGATGAAATCCCGATCATCTAAAGAATACATAAGGATTCTTGGCTTTAGGCAAATTCCTTTTTTATTACGGTCAATAATTATAATTTTTATCATTAGTAAAGTTTCTGCCCTTACACTACGTTCAATCACTTCGATTGTCACATGCAGTTTAACTTTATCCCTAAAAACAGGCTTGGGCTTGCGGTCAAAATAGAGAAAATGCCCTCTCGTGATGGAAATAATCAATCTTCAAACTGTAGATACCAGCTAGAAGGCAACACATTGTTGTAGGAAAGCGATGCAATTACGCCAAATCGGTCTAAACAAATATCAATTTGTATACAGAAAAAATAAGTTAATCAAGTTAAGCCAAAGCGGATAGTTCATATCAATTACTAGAAAGAAGCGTAATCGTACGGGCAATTTAAGAAAAACTGGACGCTGATTCGAGCAATATCCAGTGACCTGAAATTGCTTGCGGACACAGTGAAACAAATGCGACTTCATTGAAAAGGGCTAAATACATAAACCAACGCGACCTTTTTTACAGACCTAGTCTGCCACTTAGTTGTTCACGTGGCTAAAGCTACGTCCCAGATTTATACTTTTTGTCAAACGAGCTGCTGAAAGATGCGTCTTAAAAGCGAAGCTTAGTCTGCAGAAAATCTATGATATGATTCGTGTGCTTTCAATACAAACCAATGAGATTGTCTCTTACTTGGCGTAATCCATCGTGACCACAATGCAATTATCGGTGACATCGCTTCGCAGCAGACGAGAGCGCAGTTCTACGTGAAACACGACAGCGGTAAGAAGAATAACAACGGTATGAAATTGCTGACCCAAACGTTGCTGCGAAAAGTTCTTCGCCACAAAACTCTTCGTGTTTGAGTGTTTAACGTTAACTTTGTCTGGTAACTTGTCTATCGGCCGACAGGTATTGTTTAAGCGTACGTTGGTCTCGAACGAGGACAATACCTCTCTTCAACTTCAATCAGAAGATACGATTCAGTCTCGATTTCCCAAGTTCTCATCAACGGCAAACACACACAAAATAGGCTAGCCAATCGATTAAAGTTTGCACGAACAGGTGCAGTCCTCCTCTGGACACACTCCTGATACAACTGGTTCTTCTCGCTGGCTAATATTGTAGTTCCACTGGTATCTCAACAACCGGTATGAATTTTTGTAAACATACGATATAATTGTAGCAAAACTTTGTACTATGAGGGACGCGAACAGGCAGAGATGCTGACCCAAACGAGTTGATTAACAGCAAATGTAACCCAGTCGTCGCTACACGACGGTCAGTCACAATGAAAGTGATTCGCACTATCGGTTTCTTGTCGTGTACATATGTACATCTGTGATGATGAGGGTCTGCAGAGCGGTAAAGTGTATCTGTCTTTGCATCCTCTAGTTTTTTCTGTTTTTTTTTTCTCGTCGAGACGAACGATGCTAGCACTCCTCTGGCCGCCGAAGGGTCTGTCGTTTCACTGAGCGGTCTCGGCTGAGATTCAACGCATTTCGTCCAGATGGCGCTCATCTTTAGCCCGATCTGTATCCTCAGAGCGGACGCAACAGAATTTGCGCTTAGTGCCTGTTGTTCGTGCGCTCTTGAATGATTAAACTGTTTTTCATTCGAACCACGTGGGCGGCTGATGTCAACCGGCTTCTTTTGGCTATCCGGTTCATCTGTGTGTTGTCGCTGGCAATTTCTCTCGGACAGCTTCGCTCTATTATATCCGACGTATGATTTATTGGAGATAGAGCGAAGGAAGGAGAGAAAGACTTGTGTTTTTATGGACTTCGTTAAAATCAATACTGGCACAGGACTGTCGGCGATTTGCCTAGGATATCGGCAAATTTTGCATGCCGATCATGGCTGTGTCGCCAGCCTAGGAATAACGACATGACTATTGCGCAACGCACAAGGTAAAAACGATGCGTTCAAGATCCCGTCTTCATAATCTGATCATTGACTTGTCTGTTGTGCCTAAATGTTTGGCAAACGTTTCGAGCCATGATCGATACGTAATTGCTAAAAAAAAAATGGCAAATGGTCGACTTAGAAGGGTAAACTATTTGACATGAAGTCGCTACAAGATTTCCATAATTTTTTAGCATTTAGACAGGTCATATAAACACCGCACAAATCAGCCACCATTCATATTCAGCGCGTTCCATTGTGAGCCGTTTTATTAATCAAAGTCAAACGCCAACGATAATCTGAGTCGTTCAGATGACCATTCCCGGCAAACGCCGCTGCTAGTCTCGTTTGACCGGCCAGAATTCACAATAGATTACAGTCGTACAGTCATAAGTCGTGAAAATGTACACTCTTCTTTTTTGCGCCTCACTTACTTAAGCAGCTAAATAATTGCCTCAACTACAATGGCCGTCGCTTGACTAGGAGGACACGAGGTCGAATAGGATCGGCTGTTGTACGTTACGGATCGTTTTCCCGCCGAGCACAATATAAATGCCGATGCGGGGGACGATCGACGTCCCGCGAACTGAATATGGCCTGCCAATTATTAGATGCGTGCAAAAATGTATAAGAGAAGGCCAGCTCCTCGTAAGTACTTCGCCTTTACCGTCAACGAAATCATAGTCATACTGGTAATAATAGAAACGTAATATCTATTCATGACTTGATACGGTAGAAAGGACTTCCTGTTGCGCGTATTTGTTAACAGTCAGCCGGTTAGCAGCGTGCATCTGAATCTCTTGCGTACGGAACTTACAACCACAGCACGTAATCAAGAATGCAAAAAATCCCTCAGTGGCTCTGCGTACCAGAAGTACCACTGCGTAGCAGAACAAACCGACCTGACGCGTTTAGCTGAGACGTCTTGTCAGCGTGACACAACACGTTCAAAGCAGCTCTCGTTTCGAACGAGCGATACAATAAGAACAGCTGCGATAATAGAAAAGACAACTCGAACAGAAAGCGTATTGAACTGGGGTAAGATTTTAGCTGTCGTTCCACTGAGGTTTGCTGGGCTATAGAGACAAGATGGTCGTTTCAACGTCTAGCCTAACTGTGTTTTACTGATAACACTTCGATAACTGGAACATCTGGAGGCCTGCTATGGAGTCACACTCGAGCTAGCTATTGATTAAATTATGTGAACTACTTAACTTTAAAATAAGGGGTACGCAAGCGTTGCGACTCACTGCAGGACCCATATTGTCTGCGAGGCATCACGATAAGATTGCCAGCCGAGGACAGCATATGCGTAATGGACATCAATAAGCGCTGAATCCGTTTCGCTATCGATGTCAGGATAAACTACACTTCATGGTCGTCAAATACAACTTTCCTATTGTTGGATGCAGGCTCTCTCTCTCTCACTCCATTTTCTCTTGTGTGACCTCTGTTCTATCGGTCACGTTTTGCCACGGATGCTTAAAAAATAAACGTATATTACTGACTTATAATGTAGTCTACGAGGCGAATACCGCCCCTCCCATCAACTATGGCCACCTTGACTCTACTCGAAATACGCGTTGGCCCCTCCATTACGCGTACTAATACCCTTTGCTGTTTGCCGTTGGCCTCTTTTTGGACGCCGGCCAAATTCAGACGTGGAAATGCTGCGGAACAATGCATTCTCCCAGTTTTTCGATCGGTGTAGCGACGCCAGGCGCCATCGCGGCACCGGCACGAATCACCCGCGATGTCTTTGTCTGCCGACTATTCTCTAAGATACGGGCGACGAGGATGCGCTATCTCACAGTAGATATAAACTCACTGTCGAAGAAGAAAACCCAATCACAGTACGTATTGTGGTCGTACATAGCCTACGAAATAGATCTAATTGAGAGAGGTAAGTTCAGAAGGAATTTAGGACATCGACATGATCGTGGGTGATCTTTAGAGAAACCTAATCTCGGGGCGTATGGGAAAATAAATAATATTACACACAGTAGTTGCAGGCTCAAGAAGATACTAATATATAATAGGCTTATATGGTTATGGCTGAAGGATAGGGTTACCCTGATAAATGGCTGAACATGTTATTTCACGACAAGGAAGATTAGGGCCATTTAATTAGGAAAGGAATGAGACTACAAACGGCAATGTGTTTTATCTCGGCTTCTCTGTGCTTCCTGCGCTCAAAAACAAATTCAGCTCGATCTGTCACTGATCTTCGGTAGGGGGGGGGGGGGGGTCTCATTAGTAAGGAATGATTGAGTAGTACTTGAACGTTCTGGAGACATTTTTCAACTCATCTCAGTTTAATTTCACTATAAAAATAGCTAAGGCGATTTTGTGAAGTTTAATGTTTAATGTTCAAAGTCGATGTGGATGGCCGATTTCTGCTCTAATCAAATGCATGTACCGATCTGTACGATCTAATACGATAGTTGTGATAATTAGTCGCTAGATGTCGTCTTAGTCGTTTCCGCGTAGCGCCTCGTGTTTTCTGGCACATTCTAGCCAAATAGCCTGGTTCCGGTGCGGAACCGTTTTGGCGCAAAAAATAGAAAGCAGTATCCTGCTTTTCTGTTCATTTCACAACCCATGCAGCTCCATATTCAAGTGACCGCCGATTAGAAACCGGACATTCAACTTCTTTGGGACGAAGCGAAAACTTTAGATTTAACTAGTACTTCGTTCAACCCCAGGAGCCTGTCTTCTCATTACTATCGTATACAGATGACGGCACATGTAAATTTTTATCCGTGATTGATAGTTAGCAACCCTTCATTTTGAAACTATAAGAAGATTGTTAGAGCATGTCGCGTTCACACGACTAGCCAAAGTAACAAGTGCGCCCTTACGAATTGAAAAGATAAAGTATTTTGTTTGGTTTTCCTCAGATATTTCTGCTGATCTTTAATATATGTAGATCAGTTTAGTTAAATAGTTATATATATTCTATTATAAACGGCTCGACATCCAATTCAGATTTGGCAGGGAAGAAATATATACGTATAATGACGGTAAACATACAACACTCTTGAAGACCGTAATGTTTTTGGGCGTAGATCGTACACTGGGAAATATTTTTCGACGGCATTTTTCGTTTAATTTGTATACTGATTTACAAGTCAATTTTACTAACTAAACATTCAGATTGGTAAAAATTATTTTCCATTTTTTTTCACACACGTTTCGGAACGGGGAAAATATGTAACCGCATGATTAAAATCAATAACATAACATCAATGTACCTGGAATAAGTATATTTATATAGCATCGATAGTCATTCTTCGTTTCTCCCCTATATTTGATTTTTGCACGTTGTTATATAGTTCGCTCGCAGAAATTTCGATGACTCTGCATTGTAGCTCGTGCCTATAGTACATGTTAACCGCACTCGGTGCTACATTGTTCACTTCCTACTATAAGACGAAAAGCCAAAATAGAAAGAAAAGGAAATCTGGGTGAATATAAATAAACTACGCCAGTTCAAGCTAGTGAAAAATAAGCAAAAACATGGTGGGAGCTAGGTGAAAGCGGGCTCGTAGCGCAGTTTGTCTCGATATCTTTAGTCGCCGGAACGAAGCAGGGAATAGGCACCCGCAGAGCGTAACGAAGATTTCATTGCTCCACCCACAACAGGCCGTCTGTGACGCCCGGGGGACGCCTAGGAAGTCTGCCCGCTTCTTCAGCAGAAGCAAGCGTAGAACGTCGGGAGGAACGAATTTTATAACGATAATGTTGGCAACGCCGCTTGATGTGCCGGAACGAGCATGTCGATCCGGTTCAACATGAGGCTCACTGCTGAGCTGATCTTACGAAATAATCGGTTAAGAATTACCTATGTGTCAATTTGCTGAGTTAATCACACCTTTGGCCCACTTTACGAATGTACGAAGTAAAACGACTAAGTGTTGAGATGGTAAGATTTCTAACATGTTCGGATACCTTTTAGCGGGTAACGTAACAGAATTAGCCGGTGTTGAGCCTTAAGAGCTACATCGCCTACAGCATGAATCGTTTTGGGATGAATGGGGCGTGTGATGAAGGTACGTGACTATGATGTTACTAGTAAATAATTGGAGCTCAGTTTTGTTTTCTCTCGTTTAACGATGGCACGTCTACGTTGATTGATTCGTAAAAAAGCATATTTACGTAACATCGAACAAAAACTGGACATATGGCAGTATTCGTTGAAGGTCCTAAAAAAGGAACTGTGTTACATTCAGTGGCTAATTAAGATATAAGTTCAAGTTAATTAGAGGGCTATCTTAAACCTAGTCCTGTTTTTCCCTGTAAAGATGAAGAGCGCATTCAAACGCACGTATTTAGGTAACCGTATCATCAACTGTGGTTTCTATACGAGAAACATCCTGGTATTTTTTTTGTCCCAGACGAAGATGATACGATTACGTCCGACTCAGGCGATCTTGAAGCACATCCACCCCGAACCGTTTTAGATAATTAGTAACCACTTGCGATGTAACATGAAAGTTTTTCGACCGTAACATGTATTCTATACATACCGATATCATTGTGAGCCTTGAGGATGACCTTTTCCGCCATTTGCAGTTGGCCTTTGAGTTGCTGGGAATAGCCTTCCGTGCGCTTTAACCTCTCGCTCCAATATTGAGCTGCAAGAGCCATTGCACTAAATGCTACGGACGATCGTCGGAGTTCGCTGCGTATTACGGTTAACTCGACGCTTCGAGCTTCACACGTTTCGCCGAGACGAAGGATTTCATTTTCAAATTCCGACTGAAAAACGATGCCGATGTCCGAAAGCAGCAAAAAAAAAAAAGACAAAGCAATGACGCTTCTTGGTTAGAAAGCATGCTACGATTCAACAAAAAGCTGATAATGATTTTATTCTCCATAGATCCGTTATAAATGACAAGCAACTAGTGGCATTAAGGGTGCTAAATAAATAGGTATATGGTAGAATGCCCTATATATCTAAACGCATTTGCCATTCAACTAAATCTATCAGTTATCAACAATGCTGTAGTATTTATTTCATCGAAATCGTTCATTTGTTTATGATATATATATATATATATATGTGTATATATATATATATATATATATACACATATATATATAAATTGTTGCTGGTATAAGAGCTAATGTACATGTTAGACAATGGATATAGTCACATTTTACTGAAGGAACTATATTAAAAGTAGAGATTCTGAACAAAACGGTCGACACAATCGACGCCATAACGTTCGTACACTTTAACGCGCATATGTTACGCGGACGACTAGATTTTTAACGCAGTGCACACACTGGTAATACAGTTGAAAATCTTTAATCTGCTTTCAATAAACTACTGAATCTTGGCGATCAGAGTAACTTCCTCAGACAGCGCCGGTATTGTATATACATACGGTGCGTGGTGTTCTCTGAATATTCAATAGCCTCCATGTATAATAATAATAATAATAGAACTATGAATATCCGATTGTTGATTTGATTGAGTCTACTGAACGAAGACTGCTAGTCTTCAACAATGAACATTTACATCGACTTGAGGAAAAACGGAACACACTCATATGCTGTTTATAATTTCCACAAACGGGTCAGCGATATGAAAATTAGCGGTCACTAGTTCGCGCAATGATAGTGGTATCAGCATCTCATTATCTTGTGCTCTTCACTATCATGTTAGTGTTTTGCATGTAGAATCAGGTAAAGAATATCACGAGTTGTCCTGTCGGCGAAATCTGACAAGTAATAACATTTTATCTCATCGACGATTTTTAGACGCTGCATGTTGAAACTATGTTCGACTGAGCAGTTAATTTAGCGATTGTTGAAGAAATGTAATGGGATGTAACGGTAAGCGCTTACCTTAGCCGGACTTATTCTGGCATCGCCAGTGACGGACAGACCATTTTGGGACTGGCTAGTGGCTGTGATCGGCGTAGACGTTGTATTTTCTGTCGCTCGAACTGCTTTCGGGACATTTCTGTCGTCGAGGCCTAGAACGAGCAAAAAAAGGTCAAGAATATTGAACACTTTTTCAGGATACGCGTACACAATTAGGCGAATATATGGGACAATTGGCATATAGTGAATTCGAGAAAAAAAGGCCCACAGATTGATTAACAATCACAAAGGTAAAATAAAATTAAAAAATTCCACCATCTAGTACGTACTTGTATTCTATTATAGTACAATATATATAAAATCCGACAGCTCTAAATCCGAAACGCCAATACATAGATTCTACTGCATAGTTCTCATATTTATGAACAATTGCACTATTAACGATAATAGTAACACTTCTAATTGCCAAAGATTCATCGATTACTCGTCCTTATTTTCTTTCGGTGAATTAAGCTGCTGTTATAGGACAAAACAGTGCAGCAATGAATAGGAAAAAAAAACATAACATGTACAGTTTCGTATTGAAAAAAAAAAAGCACCAAGATGAATAGGCACACCTTGGACTTGTACAATGATACTCGTTTACACGGCACACGCTTTTCACACCTGTACAGCTAAGCCGAATAGCGACGTTAAACGACCAAAAGAACTTTGGCGGTTAATTAGTCTGGGTTAGATTTGACGGATCCGAAAATTACAGCTGTTACTCAATTTACGAATAGCCATTGCGAGGCTACCCGCGATTTGGCTGGCGCCCCCACCTCCGACGTTTACAGAAAGTTGAACGCTGGATGCGTGTGTCGAAGCAAGAGAACTTTGAATATCAATTTTTTTTTTTTTCGATACAGTTTTAACGCCATTTACCTTGCATATAACAAAAGGGCAAAACAAGAAAAGACTGGCTTGGAGGCTATTGTCAGTAGTAGTGGGCGAGCAGGTACATAATAGCATTTTTTTTTTCTATAATTTACACAAAGTTTAGTGTTTGCCAGTATAGTTAGTCCCGATCCGCTCTAGACTTACGAATCAGCATGTCATTATCGTTGGTACTGCTTCTGCTGGGGTCTGGCGCCATCTGCATTTACTAGAAGGGAAGGCGAGGGACCTTATACTATTCCCACATACATACACAATTTGAGTTTTCGGCACCGATAAGTATTTATCAGCGAGCGTTCCCCTATAAACAACGATGAACCCGCTGCAAGCGTAAACAAAATTACATATCTCGAGCTGCGGGGAGAAGTGGGGGTATGCCGATCATATACTGATTCCACCTAAAGTGACGAAAGCAATCAAACACTATCGTCACTTATCGTGTAATCAATGACAACCATATCTACGGTACGAAGTTTACTGACAATGTAGCAGTAATAAATAGATGATTCCCGATTGACCCGAGCAAATGTCATTAACAGTCCTACACACAGTCTACTACAAAAATCACTTGGGCTTAAAAACAATTTACATAACCATATATGTATAACAAGTAAATATTTAATCATCTTAGTATTGGGAGATCGCCAGAGGTAAACAGACAACGAAATAGCTATCCGTACAGCCATATTATCTAGTTCACAATCCAGGTACAACTGTCTAGTCTCCACGTATCGTACCGAATTCAATACGAGGCACGTTGTTCCGCAGCAACCTGACGGCGCAGAGCATAAGGGCCATTATCGCGTGACCGGCCCGAATCAAAGCGCACAAAAGACCTGCCTGAAGCTCAGCCGAGTTCAAAGAAGTCAGATCCACAACTTTGGAACAAGCCACACGGGCTAATTTTTCCTTCCCCTCCTCTAGGCGACGACGTCGCCGACATTTCATCGTTGTTCGTAGGACATCTGTGTACATCCACAAGCACGGGCACTGCTCAACCGAAAACCTCGAACGTTCCTATTGCCGCTAGTTAGTTGTAGGCAGTTTTACTCTGGCAAAAAATAAATGCTGATAAACGAATTGCTTACGTCTCAGCTACTTATTAGAAAAATGACTGCTATATTCGAACTAACAGAGGGGGGAAGGCGAACTTCATCCGCCGACCAAGTCCACATAAGTAAACTCAAGGTATCGATTTCCATTATCATTTCACGATACATCAGCTCGACAGATGGACCTTTTCCACAGATCCGACGCGACGAGAAAATCACCCGCGCATTGTTTCGCTAAACAGAGACTTCCCTGTTGATGGGCACTGCTCGTACCCTAACACGCGCGCGACGTTACCCCATAGAGCGAAACCAGTGCGTATTCCTATTTCTTGGCGATATGTTCAGTGGGTGAGCAATGCGAAAATCTTTCATTGTCATGCCGAGATTAGAATGCTGACAGACGCTGCTTGCCACTGTTGCTACGATGGTTTGACTCTTCTGTGAAATTCTCTGTTTGACTAAATGTTCGTAAAGGCCCTGAGCAACGTCAGATTATCGTTGCCGGATTTCCAGAACTGGTCTGTAACAATATACGATGAGGAACCAGTTGTTTTCCATATGTGTTCCGCTGCAACGCCTTCAGCTAGTTACTTTAACCTACAACAGAAGATGCAAAGCCAATTCGCACATTGTTGGATAATGCTTGCGAAGCAGCCCTTATCTCAGGGTGGTCGGCGGGAGTATTGAAGCCGCTAATGTCAGTACCAACGTTTACGTCGGTCCCACTTGTCCAGATTTGTTGCCGCTGATGTAGCAGCATCAGCAGCTACGTTGTCGCTCTAGACCTTCATTTGTCGGTTGATTCATTCGATCACTCAGGGTTCGAGGACGGCAGTGCCATCTGTTTGCCGTTCCGCTTGCTCGTACGGAAGCGGTCCTAGTTGTCGACCACGAGAACTAAAGAGCAAAGGGATGCTCTGCGTGCAGCGGCGGCGGCGAATGTCACTGTTATCATTTCCTGTAGTTGTGCGTTCTGACTAATGGTCAGTTCCTGCTAGGGAGGGACACCTGACCAGTTGCCCCTAGTAGCCAGCAGAAGATTCATTCCCACTGTCAGCACAACGGCAGCAGCACGAAACAACACTGACGGTCATAGTTGCACACAGTTATGGGCACTGCACGCTGCACGACGGCGTAGCGTACATCAGCACGACAACGAAATCGACGATGACGACTGGAACGCGATACATACACCGCTAAGAAGGGACTAACGATTGTTCGATTACTGTTGCCTCTCCTAGGAACTCGGCTAGAGCGTTCAATGTTGCCGCTAGAAAATACCATGAACTAGCGCGCGCCGCCGGATTAGCGCGTGTCGGACCACGCATAGCGCGTAGGAACCGATTCTGGCTGTGAAGTGGCTGGTGCCGATCCTGCCTGTGCTGTCGCTATGGCTGCGGCGGTGGCATCGATGGCAATGACAGCATCTACTACGTCAATAGCACAAGTGGATGGCAAGTGTACTACAAGTATATATGGTCGTGATAGAGGCAGCAGCAGCGTCAAACAGCCAGCTTACGAGCGACTGGCCAAGCTGTTTGTCTGTGTTGAATGTCCACAACGGTGCGCGACTCACCCAACCATTACAGCTGATAACGCTTCGTAGGCAAGAAAGAGGTTTCTCCGCTCCGCCCAAGGCACGCAGGCTGGCTGGATGCCTAGCCGCCCCATAAACGAAGCATTATGGTGCTGCTCTTGTCTCTCATACGAGAAGATACCATGTCGTCGCAGACTTCACAGCGACACGTCGACTATCGAATCACTGTTACTGGCCGTCGCAGAGTAGAACTAGTTTATCACTGATTCGGTGCCGCTTATGATGTCCGTCTCCTGTCGGCTATATCAGTAACTAACCGGTCGCCTTACCATAGGTGAACATCAACTTTTGTTACTTTACAGTCACAGTCAGGACCATGCGCAGCGGATGTGGCAATTTATAGGGTCCGTTCGAAGAATCCGGTACGACAACCTCGTTCTCACACACATACACGAAATTCTATTAACCTCTACGGTTAGCTTCTTCGGTTTAGCCTTCAGCGCCTGACGGAGATGTCTTTGTCGCCACAACAACAGACGGCTTATGACAAAATCTTCATAACTGCAGTTGTCGCCGTCGCTTTTATCGGGCGACATTTTCGTTCTACTGACGGCGAACCGTGTAACTACGTGGATATTCCAGCTGCATCTCATTTCATTCCAGGAGGCTTTACTCCCCTTTTTCCGTTAACTCCATCTTCCTTTTTTAATCAATTCGAGCACCTAATCACACAGAAACGCACAGATGCGCGAAAACACGCCCAGTCTAGTTTCTTAGATGCTGGAACATACGCATACAAAAAAGGCAAATAGGAGATATGGCGACGATGCAGCGTAAGCAGCAGGTGGAGGGTGGCACAATGTAACATTCGCTTCGCGGCAGAATTTTCGCGGTGGGACCATTGCCCCATATTCTATTCGGCTAGCAAGCCGGGGCTTCTCCTAGGATTAGCTATATCTAGGCGCGTCCTGTTGTGTCGCCTAAACGTCGCACGTCAAACTGTTCGATGGCGGCAGACAAACAACAACGACTAACATTAACCAGACGGGTCGAAGAGCATAATTTGAGCTGAACGTCACGAAGACAGCAAAAATTGCAACCGGCTGACCGGAAGACTGAAGCAATCGCCATCGATTAAATACCCTGACAACATTAGGCGTCCATATTAGGGTCATTAGTGTTGCATTTTTTTTCGTTTCCCGTTGCCGCCATTTGGATTATCTTGGCTTATCATCGGCTGAATCAAGACACAGGAACTGGCCACAGTATATATTTCCTCGATATATGAATGAGTGTTAATATATCATCTGTATTAACAACTGTCGCAACCGACGTTGTTGAGGCAGCTGTTGGACGCTACGCTTAAAACCACACATTCACTGATTGGAAGCGGCAACATTCAGAGCTATTTCGCCTTTTGCATGGTACATGCAGAAGCGACATACTGTTGTGCGCAGTCACGCATGCACATGCAGAAATAAAAAACTATGCAATAATGTGTTGCAGTTAAAGCTGTTAAAGCCGAAGATACTCAGGACATATCGATTTGTTGAACGGTGCTTCCTGGCTCGTACTTACTGTCCGCACAATGTAATGCGATTAGCACTACCGAGACCTCCACAATCCC